CCCCAGTCTCTGTTAGGCCAGGGCTGGGGCTGCTGGGGCTGCTGCAGGGCACTGCGGTGCTCCGGTGCTGAGACCGGGGTGGGTGTCTGCGCCCCAAGAGTCTTAAGCAGCCTTTCTCTTGGCACTTGCATTGCTTTGGGAAAAGGAGCTATAGCAATGCTAAAGAGCTAGGAACATTTTCATTGGCATATATTAATCATAAATGGAAACAGCTTTGATATTAGAGACAATAAGGCAGTGGCAGCACCCGGGATAAGACTGATTGAGATTAATTGTGAAAATCCCCCATCATATGTTTTGGAGGAACCAAAACTGCGTAGCATGTGCTTATTCTGGCTGTAGATTGTTTTATTGATTTTATTTTTTCCTGCATGAAGCCCTGTGTTGGAAGGCAGCCCGTGTGTGATCCAGCTTCAAGGCAGCCAGGCTGGTGTTCATTCAGCAGGGAACACATGGGCGCCTGCATGCGCACAGGATCAGCCCTTTGCACCAGGAGGCTGCATTGTTTGTGATCCATTATTGGAAGCTGGGAAGTCAAGTTTTTCCTATCAGCAGCCCACACGTCCAGCGGTTTAACTGAAGTGGTTTCGTGTCAGCCCTTTGATTACATCGGCACAGCCCCTTTCTATAGGCTAGTCCCTAGCTTAGTCATAGCTTTTGGTTTACACATAGGAATTCTGTTTGACGCAGGAGCTGATAAGTGGTGTGCCTGCTCTGTCACATTCCCTAACGTCTCTCTCTCTGCTCTTTCTGCCTTTTATCCCTGGTGTTTGCTTTGCAGAGGACTCCCTCCTTCACCTGGCCACCTTCCTCCTTTTCACCCTCSTCCTTTTCTGCCTTCCTCTTCCTGCCTCTGCTTCTACAGGAGAGGCAGGCAAGCTGCTGTTATTTAGCAATGCTTTTATTATTTAGCAACATYAATTCCCTTGCTCTGCATTAATTTCCCCTTTGCTTGCCTGCGGAGAGACCTGCAAAATCCGCAGCGATGCCGCTGAGACGGGGCCCGCCAGTCGCGGCGGTGCCAGCGCTCCCGTGGGCAGCACGTGCAGGCTGTGAKGCTGAGCCCCGGGCTTCCCCGCACACCAACTGGTGCCCAGAGCATTAGCGCAGCGGGAAGGGAGGGCAGAAGCGCAGCTCTCCAGGCTGGCCCGGCTTTCTTTTTAAACTCGGGCATGGAGGGCTCACCTGGCAAAGGCCTCTCCAGGGCCAGCCTGTTGTTTCTTTGCCTGTTGGCCAAGTTCAGGGCATGTGGAGCCCTCCCTGGAGCTGRGACGGCGAGGGGATCCCATGCTATGGATTCCCAGCTCCTCAGCTGCTGCTGGAGGATCCCTTCGTCATCCGGCCTCAACCGCGATACATGGGGCAAATCCCACCTCGCGATGCCCCTCCGGCAGCCTGCAAGCATGGGCAGATGTCAGAGGCTGCACCTCGGCTACCTCCTCTGCAAACCCAACAGAAACTTGCCATAAAGAAACAGAAACCAAATCGGAGTGGAAAAGTCAGAAGGCGGCACGAAAGTGTTTCAGCGGCCGGTGCTGCTGAGAAGCAACTGCCTTTGCTGCGGCTCCGGTTCATGTCGGGATCTCCTTTTGCTGCTGTTTATCATCTCCTCAAGCCGCCTCTGCAGCACGAAAGCAAGCAGCAACCGCTGGGGATATTAATGCATTATCGGTAGGGTAGCTAAAATAGCAGCCCTCCTTGATGCTGAAGAAGTCATCTTCCTGCAGTCCCCCTAGTGCAAACGCTCCTAATGGAAAATGAACCAGTTTTCCTTGGGCTTTGCTCCAGGGGCCCCTCTGACTAATTCTGCCCCAGACTGCCAGGGCTGACCCTGCGTGGTGGTGCAATCAGGGCAGACAGGACTTGGTCACGTTTGGGTGCAGGCAAGGGAAAACTTTTGCAGGCCTGCCCAAAAATCCTCATGCTGACTCTGCCAAAACCACACCAAACATATGGTAAATTAAATAGCTGGCATGGAGTTGTTTTGGACTGTGGGAGCATTTCAGCACTGTGGACTGCTCTTTAGCTGTCTTGAATTTTATTTCCACTCTTTTAAGTATCTCTGTGGTTAAGGAAGAGTTAAGAGTTAAGAAGAGTTAAGAGCAGCTGTGGCATTGCAGAGGGTTTCATCTCCTCATAAAGCAGTAAACTCACAGAGGAATACACTGGAGTATTTTCTGTCTTGGACTGCCTGTTACAGACCCACGCCTGTACCTTTTTGAGGCAGCTGTGGAGCTGCCCTTCCCTCCAGATGCCACGTACTGCTTGTCTTCCCTCCTTCCCAGGAGAGAAGATACTGGAAATTGGAGACTTGGAGTCACAGGAACAAATGTTTGTTTCCTCACATGGTGTCATTCATATGGAGTCAAGTGCCCTGAACCGTTTTCGAGTTCTGTCAGGTGGTGTGGAAGAAACATTACAGAGAAGCAAAAAAAAAGAGTGGTCAGAGCTGCCAGATGTCTCCAGTGATTTGGGAGGCAGCCACCAGAACATCTGTGGTGGACACAACCACAGCGGGAGGATGAAAGCAGAACAGCCAGACAGTGGTGATCACGGAAAGAAAAGTGGCTTTTCTTGGGATTTGGGTGTTACTTTTCCTCCTGGAGCGGCCGTGGCAGCGCTCCAGGGGCAGAGCGCACCTTTGCGTGCAGCAGCCCTTGCTGTTTGGCAACTTGCCTCCACAGTCTGTGCCTGGGAGCTTGAATGTGCTCCCTATCCCAGCTCCCTATCCCAGCCCTATCCCAGCTCCTTGCTTCTCCGCTTGTCTGAAAGCCCCGGCACCTGACTCTGCATTTGTGAAGGGTTTTGGTAGGAGAGGACAAGCAGGCAAATTCTACCTGGTCGCTGCCCTGTTCTTGCTCCAGCCTCTGGCTCCATTAGCACATTGCAGGGCTGGGCCATTGCATAAGGGGACAGGATGACCAACCCCAATAATTTATTTATCCAGCAACCTGATCTTAGCAAGGATTATGGAAGACTGATCAAACAAACTTTTTTGGCAGCAGGCATCAATAAACTCTTTTTTTCCCCTGCTCTCTCATCAATAAACTCTTTTTTAAATCACTCATTTAGTTCAATGCTCAGTCAGTAATTTCTTAGAAACATCTCACTAAGCTCGTAAGGAGAACAGCAACAAAAACAAAAGGAAATATAGCAAGAGATGACTTAAGTGAGTTTGGAAATCACTTCTCATATGAAGCGCTCTTTTACTCACATACACGAAAAGCATCAAAATTCTCTACGTCTGATGTAAACAGCAGAAAGAAAAAGTCATCTGGAAGGACAGCATGATTCATACTGAGGACCTGACTAGTAATATTCATCAGTGTTGAAATTCACTCTGCAAGATGACTGCATGTGAAAGCAGCACCAGTGAAATCCCAGCGTTGGCCGTGAGCAGTATTATTAACTGCAAAGCCGTGTGGTTGGGCTGCACTGCCACAGCCCGTGCTCCTGTGAGTAATCTGATGTCATCCAACCAGTCTCAGCTAAAACAAGAGCACGGTTCAGGTATGGCTGCTTCACATAAGGGCAGCAGCAGCAGCAGCAGCAGCGTACCAGAGCACGCTCGGCTTTTGCACTCCTCCTTTGCACAAGGTTGGTCTGAATAGGAACAAAAATTAAACAGCAAAACAGAAGGTTTCTTCCTTGGTCTTGCAGAAAAGCCTCCCTAGAGTTTCCTTTGTTGCCTGATTTGAACTCTTCCAGAAGACTGGAAAATTCAGGCAATCTTTCCCTGTATGCTAATTGCATTGACCCAAATGCTAACAGGGCACAAAAGGCCTCGCTGGCTTTATGCATTGTTACAAGATACTTTCCCTTGCATATTTGAATCTGTTTACCTAATCTTCCAGGCCTTCAGCCATGAATATTAAATTCCTTGATCACTATGCATTAGGAGTCATCTTTGCACCATCTGTTTGTATTTGTCATCTAAACCTTGTAAATAATAAAATGTACTTTGTTCTCAAGTTCACGGTTCCTAGCAGGAGCGCGATTGCCATGGAGGACAAGCCCTGGGCGGAACTCCTGGTAGCGCCGGGCTGCGGGTGAGCTCCCTATCTCTCRCCTGTCCTCTGGGAGACTAACGTATCAGCCACAGGTTTCCTATTGTTCTCTGTGACTGTATTTGTGCTGCCGGTGGATTTGCCATTACACAGCAATTAAGCTAAAGCCAGAACCTCCCATGAGAAGCAGTTGTCAGCCTCCTTGAAGTCCCCAGAAGAGATGATTTTAGGGTCCGCATCTCTGAAAAATAATGCAGAAGAGCTTGGCTGTGCTTTTAAAACAGAAAAAAAAAAAAAAAAAAAAAAAAAAAAAAAGGTAAGCTGCATTCCAGGAGCACTTCCTTTATAAATGCAAGGTATGGCCATTGGAGTTCCTTGCCTTGGGCAGGTGGAGTATAAATGTCCAGGCAGACAAAAATATAAGCAATATAGGTGATGCAGAAGGGCTGTGGCTGTTTAGCAGCGTGGGCCTCCTTGCCTGGGGCCGGTCAACCTAGAGCTCAGGCTGAGCACGRTGAGACCTTCCTAAGCTCAGGTGAGTGATTTTTCCCTGGGGTCACTGCTTTTGCACGCAGGGCCCGGTGCACTTGCAGGGCAGCACTCGCCTCCTGAAGAGAGACCAGAGCGCGCGGGGTTCACCCTGCTAATGCCACTGGCCTTGGAAAACCTCTAATGGATAGTGACAGGGAAGAAACAGCCGAGGAAAACATGGGTAAAATGAAGAGATGAACCGAGTTGCTAGCAGGATGGGAATTCCATTAAGGCAGTAAAATTGTAACCCATCAGCTGAGCGGGAAAGTTCATTGAGAACTAGGCAAATTTCACGGGAAAAACAGATTAAGTGCAGGTGCTATGGCACAAAAGTAATCCTTAGAGGGACCTCTGGCTGAGGATGTTATTGGATCATGCAGCAAGGACAGCCCTGGCCACATATTACTGCAGTTCAACTCCATTTTATCAACATAGATAAATGTGTGTTTTAACACGCTGAGCATGCCGGTGAGTAGAAAGGAGAAGGCTGCAACAGCTGAAGGTCTCTATGGAAAACAAAACCTGGCTGGCGAGCAGAGCTCACGAGCAAGGAACCTTTCTGAAGCAGATGGGAGCAGCACCTTGAAGCAGACTTACAGTGATCTACATTGCCTGAGGATTTGCCTCCATGTGCTCTTACATGAAGCTGCATGCCAGTCAGCTATCAATAAGTRCTCACATGATTACAGTAAGTTCAGAGCGTGATGTAGCTGCTTAAAGAAGGGACGGCTTAGGAGACAAAAAGGAATATTATTATTTCTCTCAGATGTGCTGGTAGCAACAAAGCTTTGGCAAATACAGGGTGGCCAAATATTTGTTTGACTGGGAGACTTACCCAGCCTTGGACAAGATACCACTTGCCATTCTGCTCAGCATTACCAACATCCTGCAGAAGGAGGTTACCTATTAAGAGATGGACAATATATCTTGTTCGTTGTTAGAGCGCTATGGCCTTAGACTTTGCCCAGGTATTTAATAACACCATCTGCTGTCTTGTTCTGCAATACTATTATTTTTACACGAGGATTACTCTTCTTGCTTCGCAAACAGYGCTGTAATAACAGCGCTAAATGAGCGCCGAACAGCATGGTATTTAAATTCTGCTGTCCAAGTAAAACACAGAGGAGGTTCAGCTCACCCAACGCACTGCAGGAGCGTTGCCTTAAATCTAAAAATCTTAATGTGCTGAAGGCCGAGGAGCTGAGATCCAGCTTGYGGGCTGTGCTCAGGAAAAGCTCCCCTGTGTTTCCCGACAAAGGGGCAGGAGTGAGACCCATCTTGTGGCACTTCCCTCTGATGCCTGTTGTGGCTGTTTTCTTCCCCTAAGCAACACAAGCAAGGGCCAGAAGTCAGCAATCATTTTGTCTTCAGATCTTTTTCTCATGAATAACATGCAGTCAGCTCCRGATAATCATATGTATCTGGTTTTATATCTCTGTCTATAAAATGTCCATTCCTACTCTCACTGGCAGTGAYGGGAACCTTGGTTTTAGCTTCTTCAGAGACTTCAGGGTAGCGTGTGTTTAGTTCAGTGGTGTCTTCTCTCCGGCGTAACCACAGTCTCGTACAGGCTGGTGTTTCATTTAAAGCCGTCGGTGGTAGCTGCAAGCCTGAGACTACCACAATCCATGACAAAGGTCCTCCCAGCTGAGATGAGTGGTCCTGTGCTCTGCAGTGATGCAGCTTTTGTGAAAATACTTTTCTTTTTAACAAAGAGAAGCGGAAACCTCCTGGCTCACCTGGTTGCAGAAGAAAGGTTAGAGATGTGAACTCCAAGCCCTTGAAAAATGAGGCAAAGAGAAAGAGCTCAGACAGTGCTTCAAATTAAAAAGTGCATATTCACAGTGAGGATTTCATAAATGTTTTTATTTTGCTGCTCTGTGCATGGCTGCCAGTTGCTCCAGTGTGTGTGTGTGTGGACGTGAACACAGTGGTCGTGAATCCCACATACTCCCCAGCTGGACCTGCACATCAGACCTAGGAAGAGGAGCATGGCGTTTGGCAATCTATTGAAACGGAAGGGTCAAACATGAAGCCAAACATATGATTGTAATTAGAGGGCTGGGTAAAATACGGGGGCTGGAGGTCCAAAACAGGCATGTCTTGACCTGCCTTTGGTTACAGAGGATTTTAAGTGTTACAGCTCAGTATTACAGCGCAGCCTGCCATGTGGTGCATATCTGGTTACCTCTGAGAAGAGTTTCTTAGTCTTTTGGACATATCATTTTTCGCATATTTCAGGTGTAAAGGGTTGATGCTGAAACCAGAGTGCACAGAAACACTGACTCCTTTTGGAAGTATGCAAAACAGTATGTTTTGTTTTCGTTACTGCTGCTAGTTTTAGAAGGAGATACGAAAAAGTCCACATGCTTCACATACTTGCCCTGCACCAATTCAGAGGCAAAGACAGTTTTGTGGGTGGGTATTTATATATGTTATCTGGATGTAAATATAACCTATTTTGATGGTTTTTTTACTATCTGTAAATAGAGAAACTGGTATTTCCATAACGTACAAAGTCAAGTGGGTCTTCTTTCTTGCTGTTTAACGAATGACAAGGGAATGTCTAAAACCTCTGCCAAATGTATTTACAAAAAAACCTCTCTGCCCTTGGCCTACAGTTTGCATTTTCTTTTAAACCTTTCCAAGGTAGGTAGCAGGCAGCACCCTCAGCAACTAAAAGCATGTGCAAGGACGCAGAAAGCTTCAGAATACATTTCCACACCCTGCTGACCTCTTCATCAAAAAGTCTGCCACGACACGTAATTCTTGCTATAAAATAAAATTCAGAAGACAGGCCCTTGATGGTGTTAACCTACTTCTCGTCGGGTTGCGTGCCACGGCGGGCGCTTCATCCATTAGGCGATTTTCTGTACTTCATGGGGGTTTTCCAAGCTGCTGCAGGCCAATAACCTCCTCCCCGGCCTGCAGGGCCACGTATCCCAGGCCGGGGCTCTGGGGCTGGCCGAGCAGGCGCGATGCCCTCCAACGTGCTACCTGTCGGATGTAGGACCTCACAGTTAGGGGACCTGTCCCACTGTCTTGCCCTGGGCCGGAGGCAGCTGTGGTGCAATCGCAGCGGAGCTACCCCGGGCAGGAATGATGCCCGGGCAGGAATGATGCCCGGCGTGATCCCCAGTTTCACCAGGCTGGAGGTGGCAGGTGATAGTAGGTTTGGCCCAGCTCCCTGCTTTCCTCTCTGCATTTAAAGGGCTGAACTGCTTTGGCAGCGGTGTGCAAACTGAGACTGAAATTTCTATKATTCTCCCAGTGTTTGGATAGGTGTAAATGTGACAGTAGTTGCTTAAAATGAAACACAGTCTCCATAAACTGAAATATTCAGGGGAGTATCTTCCTTGCCTCATAGCTGCATTTCAGATGCAGATTTTCCAATTTTTAAATGGGAACCTCCACTTTTTATTTTGCATGCAGCCATTCGCACATAGCGTGTGTTTTACACCAGTTAGAACCCAGGCCAAATAGGGGCAATACAAAAACACCATGCTCTTAATAGTTTTATTTTATAAGACTATGGAACCATAAGGACTTCCTTCTGCTGCGAGGAGCAGCAGGAGCTCTGGGCAGAGGTTTCCCCATGCTGTTCCCTAGGGAAGCCACGTCATCATCGCAGTCTGCAYGAGGTGTGGGCTCAGCTCTCAGCCTCTCCCGATCCTGGTAGGAGATGGCTCAGCTCCTGTCTCCAGCAGGGCTCTCCTGGGTGGTGATTTGGCCTGGTGTTATGTAAGATTTGACAAAAGCAGTAGAACAAAGCTATTTTAAGTAGGAATGTTAATTGAAGGCTGAGTCAGGCTGCAGCTAGTACAGAGATGTTTTTGAGAAGCTCGTACCCTTTTTCATTTGGTCTGTATTTTTTCCCCTTAATTATAATGTACAGAATTGCAGCTAGCAATAATAGTAACTGGCAGGGGGAAAATGGATGATGAAGGTGATTGTCCTTTTGCCTCTGGATCAGCAATTCAAATCCATCCCAGATCTTTAATATCCGGAAGTTATTAACATCTGAGCTGCACGGTGGCCTATGGGAAATGAAGCAGATGGCTTTAATCCAATTTTTAGGCTACATCTATGGTGAGGCTGAGATGCCTGCATGACGCTGRTGAGCACTAAAGGGTGCTCCTGTGTGCAGCCGTCGTCCTTGGGTAGCACCCRGCTCCGTGGGCCCCAGGATGGCAAGGGCTGCTCCCCCAGCCCTCACCCAGTCCCATTTGGAAGACTAAGCGATATGGAAGGTCCAGCCCTTGGCATGTTGTTTTAATGAGCAGTATCTGGAAAATGAGGCTGAAGGTAATTGCCAGTTGCAGCATAGTCCTAGCGCTTATTAATTTTGCAGGTGTACTTTTCATGAAATATGAATTTAATTTGACTTCATAGAGGGCACCTCCTTCTGGAGCTCAACATGAGCATTTGGGCAGGAGGGACACAGCTGCATGGAAATAGGATGGGTTTGATCTTTTCATCTGAAAGTAGAGGTGGATGGGATGCAGTTATGCAGCACATCTCTGCTGTTTAAGAGTTTCCAACATATCATTAGATACTTGCAAATGTTTCACCATAGCACTGCTACACAGCAGGATGCTACACACAGGACAGAACATACTTGACAAAAATACCCACTTGTACTTGTTTTTACTTGGCATGTTAGACAATATTGAGCAAACAGGTAAGCTGAGGGGCTGCAATGCAGAGGAGAGCATTTTGCTATGACAGCTCCTGTGAGAAGCCACCTGCATCAGGGGGCTGCAACATGGGCATCTGGTAGAGAGAAAAGGAGAGGAATGAAAGGGAGCTAAGTGGGGGCAGGCACAAGTTTCACTTGCTTCTCATGGTTTTTGTTTTTTTTTTTTTCCTGTGCTTGGGCATGAAACCCCCCCMCACACACACCTTTGTCTTCTGCTCACCCTCGTCCCATTGTAAAGCAGGAATAATGCAGTGCAATGCCATGCAGAAGTGTGGGCAGCCCAGGCGTACTGAGCTGTGCCTGGGGCGCTGGCTGCAGCCAAATACAGCAGCTCCCGGCCCTGGGGTGCAAACATCCTACGTCTCTCCTCAGCGAAGAGAAGAATGCAGGAGCTCCCACGCGGGAAACAGCYATCGCCGTCCTCAAGGAGGCCTGGCCCTCGCTTTTCCGAGCAGGCAGGACCTCCCCACAAGCTCCCCGGGCGCTGCAGAAAGTGTTGCTGAGCCCGAATGGCCTCAGAAATACTTTGGCACGTATTTCCCGCAGGTCTTGTTCTTTGTTTTGCTCTGGCACACTGGATTTTCAATGTATGCAGGAAGGAAAGCTCTGCCCTTTCGCTGCAGTGAGTCAGCGCTTTGCGCGTGGCGTCGGCACGGGTTTGAGAGGATGAAACGCGGATGGGGAGTACGACCGCTCGGAAGTCCAAGCAGAAGAAGTTTTTAAACGTCCACATTTTTTTCAACAGATAATTGCCCGAATCCCTGCGTTT